GCCTTTTTATGTGCCATAAAAATTACCTTTATGCTTTGCAGATTAAAAAATTAAAGGTAGCCTTTACCATTTGGTAATAACGAGACAAAAATACACTGGATCTAAGGTTTTGACAGTTGCAATATGGGAAAGAATGTGCGGGATGTGAGCTGTTTACTTATACTTGCCATGATTGGGGAAACCGTTATTTTTTTGGAAACTATCATTTCTTAATATTTATTGGCAGACCTAGAAGAATCGATCAGGCGAACATTAGATAATGTATATGTTCAAAATGCTGGTCTGATTGAAGAGTGCCAGAAGAGGCAATTGCTTGGACTGGGTTCAGAATTAGATTGATTTTGCAATTGATGAAGGCTTCCCATAACAAACAATAGAACTTCGTCATTTTGAAATGGTGAATCAATTTAATTGCGAGAGCTACCAAATTGTCTAGTTAATATTGTGATAAAAGGTGATTGAAAATGGAATATTTCCAGGTTCTGGCTGGAGCCTGGAAGGCAGGATCTCTTTGTTTTTTTTTTTCCCTTCTAATGTTTAGAACCAATCAAGCATCTGGTTAATACTGGCTCTTCTTTTGTTTTAATGGGTTGCTAATAAAGCATCTTCAAATGCTAGAAGACAACAACAATTTATCTCTTTATTGATTTATCTAACTCCTATGGTGCAAATTCCAGACACATCCTACACAGTCTTGTTTCATGTCATCAATTGATGTCCACACCCATTACTCATATCAGGTGAGTGCCTCTTCCTGTTATTATGAAATCTATCTATCTTTGTTGCAAGGAAGTCTTAAGGAAACCTCATGTTCTTGTTTGTTGTTTGCTTAAAGCGGTGGATTTGGTATATGGTGAGAATCCAATTGTTTATCCATTTATATCAAACTAGGCTGTAGTCTGAACAAGTTTTGAAGGTGAATGCATAGATTTCAGGAAGAGTTTGAACAGCAGGGCTGTAAACAATGTAAACGAGTACGGTTACATAATGATTGATTTAATAGTTTTCTCACATTTAAAAGTCCTCCTGTTTTGCAGTTGTGCTTAACTTTGTCAGGATTCTAACTGCTGAAACCATTTCAAGGCCCTGCCAATGCCATGTTACCCTCCCATGACGGGAGAGGATTTTTTTTTTTTTTTGACAAAACCCACTCCTTCCCATTCTAGTGTTTGCCAGACGCACCCTTTGTTGCATTTTGATTAACTTCTGGCATGATCCGAGGAAAACAACTTCCTTGCAACAAAGAAGCAAACAGTATTTTTATTCCTCAATCATTTTCTTTGTTGTTCACACAAGCATTTTTTTCTTTCTTCAGATAATGTTGCCAGAAGCCGTTGCCATTGTCATGGCACCAAGAGATTCATCAAGGCAAGTGTCATTCTTTCTTATAATGAATTGTTCACTCTTCTGTTCACGTATGTCAGATTTCATTACCCCCTCGTGCAGAACCCATGGCATCTTTAGGTTGACAACTCCAGGTGGAATGTCGGTTATCAGACAGTGCCAGCATCGTGGGTTTCATCCGCATGACCCTCCTCCAGATGGTGGGCCCATTTACAAGCCCTGTACAGATGTTTACATGAACCCTAACTTGAAATTTGATGTCATTGATCTTCGATGATCTTAATTGTTCCATTGAATGTGTTTGCGCTTTTACAAATGCAATTGTTCATACAAGAAGCATATAACTATTGACTTTCGATTGATCTCATTTTTTTTTTGTTTTAAATTTTGTTCTTACTGTGGTGATTATTTCAGTCTATCATAATAATACAATTCCTCTATTTCACCAACTATAAAAAGAAATCTCAAACACATGCAGTGTGCTTGAACTAGAGATGAATTATATTATAGCATGTATCTTTTTTGGTTCTTCTGAATATCCTCATATCTATAAAGAATAAAAGCAAACATGAGATACATTATGTTATAGCTTATATCTTTTTTAATATACGAGTTCCATCATTCCGATTACCACTTTAACTTTTTGTGCAAGATCCACGCATTTACATGTCATCAAAACTATCGATGAAAGATGCTGATTTTCGTTGGTCTTCCTTTATCTTTTAATTTTGGATTGTCCTGGTGTTAAAATAATACATATTATCTTTTATTTGGGATTGTCCTGGTGTTAAAATAATACATATTTTTTTTAAAATTATTTTTAAAATTAGCATATTAAAATAATATAAATATAAAAAATAATTTTTAATAAAAAAAACTTTTCTGAACGTAATTTTGACAGTGTTTCTAAATTATTAATGAGATTAACATCTCAATAGGGTGTTTTTGTTTTTAAATTTTATTTTCATAGCAAGAGGGTGTCACATCTCTAAAATAAAATTAGAGTCAACGGATCTCAAGAACCGTGTGTGGAGTGTAGAGTAGAAAGGGAAATGTAAATTTAGCAGATGTGGTGCCCATGTCTGCAAAGCAGAGTTTCGTCAAATGTGTCTCTCAACTAATCCGAATTAGATTTTCCATTAACAACAATAATTAAACCATACTTAGAGAGTAGAGTGCTATTAAATAATAATCTATGACGACTCCTCGTGTTTAAAAATGCCCAACTCGATTCATTAATTTGAAGCCAATCTACGTATCCACCTAATGTTCGCATAATCTCCATTTTCTTAATCACCAACTAATCAGCACGTAATCATATCAATCACACGACGGCTACAAAAAATGAAATATAATACCAAGATTGGCAGAAATCAGAAATAAATAAAACTACCTTTTCATGATTTGGCAAATTAATATCAACTCCTACCATATGATATGATCATTTAACACGAATCATTCTACTTGATATTAAGTTTAAATGGTTGGGTGGTCAGCTGTGTCGTCTCCTGATGCAACAAATGACCTCAATCATTTAAGGACTTAATTAGAACAACAGTTAATATCATTGTTTCTTCACCGTTTGATGAAGAAAGAGAGAGAGAGAGAGAGAGAGAGAGGAAGCAAGGGCAGCCGCAGCAGCTGGTCGAAGACCTAGAACAACCTACCACATGGATTAAATTCTTTGAACTATGAGTGAAGAAAAAGAAAAAGAAAAAGAAAAAGAAAAAGGAATGGATTGCTCAAATCTTGCGAAGGGAGAGTTTTTCTTCCTCCTTGAAAAGGTAGACATATAAGAACATGAAGGAAACAGTAAAATCTCTTAAAAGAACAAATGAAGCTTTCGGTGGTTGCAATGTTAGCACAAAAGTCAATTATATGGTGAGAGAGTTAACACTTCAACCCTAGCTCATTCCTCTTAACAAATGTTCACTCCATCTCCAACTGGGAAAAGAATGAGAGAGAGAGAAAAGTTGGCCTTGCTGGCTCTTTCTTTTCATAAGAAAGCCAAGTAAACCCGGGGTTATTATACTAATTGTTGTAAAAATAAATAAATTAAATCAACAAGTATTAACCGGATTGACTCACAAGATAATTCTATATAAAAAAATAAAAAAATTATATAACTTAAAAATCAATAATTTAATTTTATATAATAAAATTAAAAAAATAAGTTTTATAATAAAAATAAAAAAAACTCACACCAACCCAAATTAAATCGACTAACTCAAGATATGAGATATAAATAACCCCGTAAACAAATAATACAAAGCATAAAACTCAAAACCTAATAATTTAATATTAAATGATAATTTTTTTAAAAAAAAAATAACTAAAAAAAGATCAAAATGTAACTAGGCTAATCTTTATAATCGGTGATCCAAATCATAAGATCAAGATTATTTTATAGAAAAAAATCACTAAAAAATAACTAAGAAAAATTCTCAATCATTAAAAATTAAAATAAAAAACAATCAAAACAATGAGCACTAAATGTTGTACAGAAAAATAAATGAAAGAAAATAATTAGGGATTAAATTAAAAAACAAAATAAATTTTGAAAATGATTAAAAAATAGCAAAAAAAACCAAAATTGGATACAAAATTAAATGAAATAAGATGCTAAAACATAAAATTGAAAAAAAATAATATTAAAGCAAATGATAAAAAAATAGCCATCAAAATAATGAAAATAAAATTTGATAAAAAAATTAAATTAAATTAAATATTTAGAAATAAAATTGAAAAAATATAAACTTGAAATAACATTAAAATAAAAAAAATATAAATTAAAATAATAAAAAATAAATTTAAATTAAATGTGAACTAAATAACATAATTGATTTTTTTGAAGGAATACCAAGGTAAAAAAAAAGAAAGAGGGGGAGGACAAAAAAATACATTGCCATCAGACTATCGTGAATTTGACCACACTCGCCACTCCGTCAGCTAGGCAATCACCGGACAGGTCAGATGACATGATGATTGACTGTTCTTTAACACAAAAATACTCTTCACATGTTGCTAGAAAGACGTGGAGGGTGATGACTCGTTAACACTTTTTATTTATTAATTAATATTTTAATATGTGAAGCTACTAAACAGTTTCTAAGGATATTTAACAATTACAAAAACAATATATTGCAAAGATGAAAACCCCCTTCCATTTCAGGTTTAGAATATTTTATTTTGAACATAAATTTATTATTTTACTATATTAAAAATATAAAAGGACTAAAAAACACCTCTCTTCAAGTTCAATACTTTTTAAATGTTAAGGGTAGGCATATTATTTTACTGTGTAAAAAAAATAAAAAAGATAAAAAAAACCCCAAACAAAAAGTCTATATATATATATATATTTGCTTTTAAAAGCAATAAAATTATTTTACTGTGAAAAAAATCAAACCATACTAAATCATCTCACATGGCACAATACATTACTGATCTCTTTTAGGTTTATTTATTTATTTTTTATTTTTTTATTTTTTGTATCTAATTTTCCTCTGCCTAAGATTGAAGGAAAACCAGTCTCTTGTATCTAATTTTCCTTTGCCTAAGATTGAAGGAAAACCAGTCTCTATCTCAAGTGTCTTGGCTTCATTTAGTAATAACTAATGCATTCACCAAATGCTCTACAAAAAATATAGTTTGTTTTTTGTTCTCTTATTACTCTACTCCTCTTGTTTCTTAGGCCCTCTCTCTCTCTCTCTCATTTCTTTTCTGTAACCAGTAACAAACAGCTTTCCTCTGCAGTCTGCTCTGCTCCATTTCTGGTGAAAACAGAACATGCTTCCTTTGAGTTTTCCTAGAATCACTTACATTCTCAGACCTTCAATAAAGCTGCAGTGATCTCTTGTCTTGTCCCCTCTATCCTTTCTTTGAACACTGACTTCCCGAGTCTGAATAATATTTGTTGTCTACGTTCAACCTCAAATCCTCTTCTCATAGCCACCATCTTTGAATCTTTTTTCCACCCTTTTTTCTCACATCTTATAACTTATGTTCTCTTTCTTTAATCTAGCATCCACTATTTGCTCCTAAAATCACTCTCTCTTTGATTCCGCTGTCTTTTATATGCTAGTAAGAATCTTCCCAGACCGTGATCACCAGTATGTGCTCGGAAACAAGCCCTCGAATATCTTTCTCTAATGATCTTGTCCAAGAAAATGACAGAGAAACTAAGCAAGTGTCAAGAAGGGACACCACATTACTGGACTCAAATTCTGATTTTGAGTTCAGTATTTGCAGTAATTTAGGCCATGAATCTTGTCCGGCAGATGATCTTTTCGCAGATGGCATGATCCTGCCTGTTCAAATTCAAGAAAGAACTACTGCCTCTAAGGAAATTTACAGACATGAATCGCCACGAAGAGCTTCACTTCCTCCTCTTCCATGTCCTCCTCCAAATGAGAATTTAACTAAAGATAGCATGAGAGAGTTAATGGTTGTGAATTCTGATCAGTTTGAGGAAAAGCCTCAGTCCAAGTCTTTCTGGCGGTTCAAGCGAAGCACTAGTCTCAATTATGATATCAAGAGAAGCATATGCTCATTAACACTTTTGTCACGAAGCAACTCAACAGGTTCTGTGTCAAATTCAAAGAGTTACATTGAAGGACACGCACAAGAGCAATTCGAACAACATTGAAGGACACGCACAAGAGCAATTCACAAAAGCAACAATCAACTGCCATGGAAAAGTCTGCACCACCACCACCATCATCTTCTTCTTCTTCTTCTTCTTCGGTGTCTAGCTTAGTGTATTCATTACCACAAAAGCCTCCATTGAAAAAGAGTGGATATTATGGTAAGATTAGTCCAGTCTTGAATATTCCACCTCCTTACATTTACAAAGGAGCTGCAAATCTCTTTGGTCTGGGATCCTTTTTGCGAAATGGAAAGGAAAAAAGGATCAGAAAGTGATCATTTTGATCCTTTAACCAATGAAATGATCATATTTTCAAAATTATAATTTTGTGGGTTCTTGTGGTTTTTGCTGATCCAAGTCATGTAATATTTTCTTGGAAGCTAGCATGGAGGAATTATAGAGGTTAGGAATTACGAGAGCTAATTAAGTGAATTGTATATAATAATGCCAATAAGGGATTAGGAGGGTTGGAAGGAGGATGTTCAATGATCATGCATATCATGTCACAAGCTTAGGAGACAGAAGAACAGGTAACCTTCTTTCATGACTTTGTCATATTCTGTCTCATCTCCTTTTGGTTTCTCTTGCTAGAGGGGGATGAGATTCCCTCCCTTATTGTTTCTTTTGGTTTCTTTTTTAAATTCTTTTTTTTCTCCCCTAATCATCAAGTTTGTTAATTAAAAGTTAATTATTTAAAAGATGAACTCTGAAAATCCGAATGACTGTTTATAGAAAAATGAAATATTCGCATTACAAAAAAGAAAGAACGAGAAAAAACAAAAATAATAATAATAAAAAGAAACAATCATATTTGTTCACATCAAAATAATACACTATTTTTTGTTAGGTTATGCTTTGTTTCTTCTCGCGGGAGTAAGGACAAAGGCCATGTCTCAAGGATTGGCTTGAAAAACCAAACACCTGATAACAGGACTTTAAACTTTTCTGCTTTTTTTGGTTTGCAGGAACTTCATAGCTCCATATGGAAATTTCCCTAAAAGTGGGATGAAGTTAAAAAAACCCTATTCCTTCCCTACTTAGTTAGTTTCATGTAGTACTGATTAGAGTTCTCTAATTGCCACCAGTTCCTTGTTTCTCAAGGAACACCGCTCACAAGGAAACAAAACCTCCCAGTTTAAATTAGTGATTTTCTCAACAAACAGAATGGTAATACATCATCCAAGAGCCTAGTGAATCTTATGTTATAAGCATGTCTTGTGCCATGTAACACCTCTTGAAAGATTGCATAAATGTTAAGATAGCATGAAGGGCATTATGTTATGTTCCAAATTAACCTGAGGATTAGTAATTCTATCAAGATTTCCCCATAACCATACCACCTCAGGTGCTCAAATATGGTTCTGAAGGACCAACTCTGCATCAGTAATGGCATTGTGTATATGATTTATAGCACCTAAATCCCTGCTTTCCATCGAAGTATTAGTTAGGAGGACGACATTTCAAGCTTTTCCTCTGATGTCAGACTCCGTCTCAACATTGGATCCCACATTTGAATTCCGTGAAGCCCGAAATCAAATCATTCTTGTGATAAAAACAAAATGTAATGAAAGCACTTTCCCTGTGTTCGCCTAGAATATTCACTACTCTTGCTAAGAATAATTTAAACTTCAAGTAGGGAGTTATAACCCTGATACATGAAAGAAATATAGATAGTGATTTGACGTAAGTGGGGACTATCAATGATTCCATGGGAGGAAGGGGCTTCATGTTAGCTTCCTTCAGGGTTGTTGAGAATTATGAAGTTGATGAGGATAAGAAGATTAAAAATCGTTTTTCATGGTTGCCCTTGTTTCAAATTCAGTCAAAATATGATTCTCACATGAGAAATAGGATTCCACTCCTTAATTTCCACCCACCCTTTTTCTCCAGAAATTTTCAGATTAAGTAAGATTCGTCTATGGTGGCTTCTCCTGGTTTATGACATAGGTCAAAGCATAACCAAGCTGATCAATTTGGAAGTCATAATGCAGGCTTGGAGAGTGATATAGGGGGGCAGTGCTGGACAAATTAAAGCATCTTTAAGGATTATATATATTTTGATATGATTTATCCATTTTAGAATCATTGATTTTGTTTCTCCTTTTCTGTCTCTGGTATTCATTTATATGGTAATACTTCAGAAAGGGAGTTCCACACAAGAACAAAACAAAACAATCAGTGTTCTTCCGGACTTTCTGATCGCCAAAAACCTTGCCGTGAAGATTGAAATAAAATATTTCTGTGATACAAAATTCTTAGCTACTGAATATCAAGAGATACACAGAAGAGGTAAATCTAAAGATTGAATAGACATTAATGGCTAGGCTGTTTGTTGCAACCAATAAAAGGGTCAGCTTTGCATCTTTGTTTTCCATTTTTCTTCAATCTGTTTGAGTAGAGTGTTCTCAGTTCACTTTCCCTTTCTTCTGTAGAATGCCTCTCAACATGCATTTGCTTATATCACTATGGATAAAACAAAAATGGTAAATTTACCAGAGCTGCTCATAATGCTAATGCAAATTGTGCAGTGGCGATGTAGCAGCTTCAATTGTTGGAATTAATTTTGAATTCAAAGTGTTATTTTAGTTCTCTATTAAAAATGACTTTATCTTTTACTTTAAAACTCGGTTAAAACTTTTCTCGATTAAAAAAAAAATTAAATAATCCGGAAATAAAACATGTTAAATTAAATAAAAAAATTTCATTAATATGAGAGGAGTGAAATTGGATGAAAAAAAATGATATGGTACAAATTAATTAAGAAGGAAAAGTAGTAATACATAGGACACATGGGATCAACGTGCAAATGATAAAAATTTTGTGACTATAAATACCTTTTTTTCCCTCTTGTTGATGACGACTTGATTGGAAGAAGAGAGGGTGAGAACTGCTTGATTTTCTCTTCTTGTTTCTTGATAAATCCATCAAAGAAAGGAAAAATTCGAGTGAGTAAGGGATAGATAAGTGATTCAAAGAGGTGATTGGGTGGTTTGGTAGGTTCTTTCGAAAATAAATTGAGAGTTAGGGTTTCGGGGGACTGTAAAGAAGAAACGAAAAAGTGAAGGGAACTTGATTTTCTTGTATTCATCACTTGATTCAATGATTTCGTGATACGTTGAAGAATTGAGAGTTAGTGTTATCTGAGAATTGAATTGTGGAGCTTGGTTGTAGAAATCTTGCTATTGTAATTAAATAATGCTTGTTATTATGAAATAAGATTGGGTAATCATTTAATTTAAAGAATGGAAGAAATAAAAAAAAAAAAAACTTTCTCATGAATTGTTGGTTTTATAGTTTTGAAATCTCACCCAACTGATCCAGAGTTGGAATTGAATCGGGTTGGGAAAAAAAAAGAAATTTGGTGTGATTCGACTGGTTGATCCGATGACCTAGTAAGATTTGATATAAAAAAAAAACTTTCTCATAAATTGTTGGTTTAATAGTTTTGAAACCTCACCCACCTGATCCAGAGTTGGAATTAAATCGGGTTGAAAAAAAAAAGAAAATTTGGTATGATTCGATTAGTTGATCCGATGACCTAGTAAGATTTGATCAAAAATTTAATTATAACTTATTAATTTTTAAGTTTTACTAAAATAATATTATTTTAATTTAAAAAAATTAACTAACTTTATCAAAACTTTAGAATTTAGATTTTGAATGGGATTAGGTGTACAAACTATGTTGATTTAAAAAAATTAACCTAAATGACTTAATAACTTTATCAAAACTTTAGAATTTAAATTTTGAATGGGATTAGGTGTACAAACTATGGTTGGTTTCAGCCGAGGAAGAAAAAATAAGGCATTGGAACATGTTAGTAAAATTGTTTGGAGTTGTGTAGAATTAAATTAGTATGGATTTTAATAGGTGGAAAAGATATGAAGTTCACAAAAAAGAAAAAAAAAGAAAGAGAAAAACCTCACTTTTCTTACCATGGAGTGTCGGCCAATGCTCGTTCAAAATGGAAGGATTTTATTTTTGACACCATTGATAAGGAAATTATGTTCAAAAGTATTCGACAGAAATATCCGAGAACTTAAAAATAGATTAATTGACAAGAATTAAACGGAGAATTTTTACCATCGTCATAGGCAAGAAATTCGGCAAACCTTATGAAAAGGAGCTGGATTTTGGTTAATTTAAGTGGTATGAAAAATTGTGAAGAGTTGTGTTGATTAAAGGTAAAATAAAATAAAATAAAATTATGAGTTATTTAAGGACATTTATGCATTGTAAGAATTTTAAAATTTCGATGCATTGAATTGATAACTTGAAATACTTACTTAGCAGCAAAGAATCATTTTACACGCTTAGATATTGAGTAGCTGTCTGTTATATCAAAACTAAAATATTATCTAACTTATAATCACATTTTTTTTTGAATATATGTTGATTTTCCTTGAAAAATATTAAATTATTGAAGAAGCTAATTACCTTGATTAATGAAATTAATGTCCAATTAATGAGTTATTAGAAAAACTAGTTATTCTTATTAATATGACTAGTATCATGGTTAATAGGTTATTAAAAAAATTGTTTTTCTAGTTAATGAGATTAGTAGTTTAGTTAATAGGCAATTAAAGAAATCGATAAAATTGGTAATTGAACAAATGCCTACTTGAGCTAGAGAGGACATTAATATGTTGTTAAATTCTGCTAATTATATTGATTTGTAAGATTAAAAGTAAAACAAAAAATTAATTATTTAGAAATTGATATTGTAAATATATAAAAGAAATAATAATAAAGAATTATTGTGTATTAAACTGATTGTATTTAATATTAAATAAATTCTTAGATACCTCATCATATCTTGCCAAATGTATTTGTTTTTATTTTTCTTCACATCTAATGATGTAATGGAAGAAAAGAATATTTTTCTTTGTAATGTAATTTTGTATGAAAAAATATATGTATATCTAAATTAAATAAGAGATGTATTTAAAGTAATTTTTTTTTAAGAACGTCTATAATTATGTTATATTTCATTTTTAGATTTACTTTTACTTAAAAATAAATGTGCATCTTGATTCATGTTGGAAATTTTGCTGGATTTTTAGTAAAATATAAAAAAAAATTTGTATTTTCAATAATAATAAAATATGTATACATGAAATGTTGTGCAATTAAATTAGGGTTGCTGTAGTCGGTACCAGAGTCCTGGTCTAGGTTTAGGAGTTGAAACAAAAATTTGATGATTGCTCTATTGTATCAGGATGGTTCACACAAGAAAATCTACGATAACAAATTCCTCTCTAGCTTGGGGACGGGTTCATCATTTAAGTCATGAGAAGAGGTAAGGAAGGATCCCCTAAAGGATAATGCTTATCATATGCCACTAATAATTTATCAGTCAAGAATAAAGGAGTCATCTAGGCTCTAAGATGATACTGATTCGAGGCAGGTTGAAGTGTCACAGTTTATAAGGTTAGGCCAACAAAGATAAAAATTTATATCCCTACCAGCAACAATAACACCTATATCAATCCCTGCACTACATACTGACCTTGCATTCATAGCCATGACAATGAGGGTAGTGGATTGAGGCGATGGCTAATGCACCAAACTTGACAGCTCTAGTAGCTTTGGTAATGCAAGCATTGCTAGTATTTACAACACCT